GTAGTAGTCATTTTAAAAGTTATATTTTTATACATTTAGTTTGTAACATGCAAACAAGATTTGATGAGCCATAAACATAAAGTGTATCACAGACAGAAGGTGGTGGTATTGTTTTAGCCTCTCCGTCCAAATAGAGCTGTCTGCCGTGTGCGCGGGAGACAGCTTCCGCTGCCAGGCCAGTGCACCAGTCTGGGGGCTGTGCCAGGCCCCTGCTGCCCCTGGGCTCGGCTTTCTCTTCTCTAACATGACAGGGAGAGGAGGAGGACATGGTCACTCGCGCTCCCTTGGGTCCTCAGTGCTGTGAAATAGGAAATTCAGCGTCTGTACACCATCAGTACCAGTTCTCATAGGCTCAAGAAGGCATTTCTTCTGGCTGCTGAACTCCTCCGCCCATACAGCCATCCGTCCTTCTGTCTGTCCATCCCTCCACCCATCTGAAAGAAGAGAGTGGGACTCCTTTCTGGTGCTCTCTGAGTATATTTCCTTTGTCTGCGGCTGCTTTTGTGTCGAGAACAGGGCTGGGAAGCCACTGCAGAGACGCAGAACCTGGGACTAAGTTGACCTCAGGGAGCACAGAGGAGTGTGCTTTGTAAGTGGTAGAATGTGAGCTGGAGGAAAGCTCCGTTCGTCACGAGGCCTGCAGCTGCTCCCTTGCCAGGCTGCATCCATGCACCTGTGCGCCCCGGGCCGGCAGCGTGCAAGCAGTCTGGGCAGCCTCGCGCCGCCAGCGTTGAGGGCCGCCAGCCATCCCCAGGTGTTCTCCGGGCAGCCAGAGTTTCATCCACACCGTCTATGATATTTATCTCTACGTCATTCAGACGCAGCATAAAGTGGAGAAAAAGGAAAAGGAAACAAACTTCTTTCTTGCATGTTTTTTTCTTTTCTCCACTTTTTAAAATTGTATAAATTAAAGGAGTCCAACATGATATTTTGATAAAAGGACTGATTAAAAATATGATATATGTTATTGCAGCAAGGACACATTGCTGTTAACCCCCTTCAGAATAACTTCTCCCTTCAAACACACTTACCCCACCATGCTTCTCACCTTCTGAAACAATACAGGAAGCCTTAATATCTTTATGAGGTGTGATTTAAAAAAATATGGTGAATGCTGCTGCAAGCACCATGCAACAGAAAGGCAGACTGGTAGGAACATTGTTGAGGGAGTGTCCTCCTCAGCCTTCTGGACACGGCCTGGCACTGTGGAACTTCCGGCTCTAACCCAAAGTCAAAATGACGGTGAAAGGTAGCAGTTTGAATCAGTTCGGAACATCAGGACAGCACAACTAATGACACTTGGGAAAGAGGACTTCCAGAGCTGCTTCAGAAAGTAACAGAAATGATGGGATGAGTGTGTTCAAAGCTAGGGGGAGGACTTGGAGGAAGATTAATGGCAATATGTCTTTTACTGTAATAAATAAAAATGAAACATTTACTATATTTTGTATCACACTTTTTGCGCGTATCCATAGTGAAATGATTACCACAGGTAAGCAGTTTAACGTGCCGATCATCACTCATGTTCCCTTCTGTGGCAGTAAGAATACCCAGTCTCAGTACCTTTTCAGTATACACCACACTATTAATTACACACCTCCTGCAGCACCCGAAGGCTGTACACTGGTCCCACATCTCCCCATCTGAGGGAGGGAGTCTTTGCTAAGTCTTAAGGGGCTGTTATTTCAACAAAAATTCAACAGGGATTACCCTGCCCGAACACATTTCCTCAGTAGGTTTAGCTCTTTTTAACAATTTTCCTGTTACTCTTTCTTTAAATTAAAAACTAAGGGAAAATCTATCTTCTGAAAGAGGTAACACTTGAAAGGACAGCTGCCCAGAAACTGAGTCCTCGTCAGCTGTTGCCCTTTCTCACCTCATTAGAATAAGTCCCAGAGGTTTCCTGTCGCACACTGCCCTCAGACCCGTCGGTCTAGTTTCCCCTGCTCCCGCCCCTTGTGGTTGAGGGAACAGAACCCAGAACAGACTCTGGATTTGAGGCCTGTCCCTGCGCCTTGGCAGCTGAAGATCTTACGCAGGTTAAGGTTTTGACAAGTGAATCCTGCCTGTCTCCTCCGTCCTTCATCTTCAAAGCCTGCATACTCCGGTGTCCGAGGCAGGCAGCCTCCGCTGGGGACCAGCGTCGGGTAGCAGCTGAAACCTCAGGACAGCCGCGTGGCGTTGGGACGCCCTAACCCTTGCCGGTGACCCATAGCCCCACACCCTCCTCACAGTGAAGATCTGGGGTTGTGGTGATTATTATGGACGGAATGCTGATGCTTCCCCAGATTCCTAGGTTGAGCCTGCAACTTCCAACTTCACCATATTTGGAGGTAGGACGGGGAGGGAGATGAAGGGTGAAGGAAGTCCTGAGTGGGACCTCAATCCAGTAGGGGTGGTGCCGTGAGAAGAGGAGGAAAGTCCTGGCATGGCGGTGCACTCCCACAGGCCAGCAGCGCTCAGGAAGGCTGAGGCAGGGCAGCAAGTTTGAGCCCATCATGGGTGGCTTCGTGATCTAGTGAGACTGTCACAAAATAACAGTAGAGTAGAGGGGTGAGGCTGGGGATGTAGCCCAGGGCATAGGCCCTGTGTTCAATCCCCAGTACCAAAAATAACAAAACTGACGGAGAAAAACCGGAGCTCTCTCGCTGCACACATCCACCGAGGAAAGGCCATGAGCACATATCCAGAAGCTGCCACCCACCAGCCAGAAGAGGGCCCACACCAGAGCCTGCAGTGGCTGGAGCAGGGCTGGCGAACCTGTCAGAGATGGGTGCCCAAACTGCACCCAAACCCACTCATGTATCACAGAGTGCCAACACGACGGTTAAACCTGAATACGGAGGTTTTACCTTAGAAGAAAGAGCTCATACATTAGTATCTCTTGTCTTAAAAGAGAAACAAATAACACACATGCCATAGACTTGCCACCAGTGGGGCTTCTTCAGCTTCTAGCCTCCAGAATTGTGAGAAATACAAGTTTCCTGTTGTTTAAGCCAAGGTGTTTAGTTATGGCAGCATTAATAGACTTAAGCACAGTTTTTAATGTTCCTGAGCAAATCCTCATTTCCTTATCTAGAGAATAATTATACTTGCATGTATTTGCTTTTTCAATTAGCCCAGCCTCATTACTGGGAAATGTTAGTTTCCAGTAAAGCTCATGATTAAGGAGGCCAGTCTCTGGTCTGCTCTCGCACTGATTTATCTTTGTACAGAATCTCAAATCATTTTTTGGAAAGAGAGGAAAGGAATCCATGGAAGGAGGACTGTGCGGAGGGACCATCCCCCAGGAGCTCTGCCCTGCCACTGCCCGTCATCCTCAGCTCCAGGAGCAGCTTCTCTGCATCTCTCCTTCCCTCCGTACCTCGGAGGAAATTCTGACTTCCTCCTCTCCCCCCCATTCCCTTCTGCTCTCCTCTCTGCATTTCCCGGGACCTCTCCCTGTCTCCAGCCTTTCTTCCTTCCGGCCGCTTCCACTCCACCCTATTGCAGTCCTTTCAGGGTGCGCACCTCCTGGTCTTATTTCTATGCTTAAAACCGTGCCCTGAGTTCCTGGCACTCCTCAGATACAACCCAAGGTCCCCACTGTGATCACAAAACCCTCAAGCTCGCACTTCACTCAGACTCATCCTCGTGTGACTTGGCACCTCTGAGCTGCTTCCACTCTCTTGGCAACCCGGGTTCTTTCCTCTGGGTCCTCGCTGAGGACACTCTTCTGCCTCTTGCTCTGGAGCTGACGTCACTCTCTGTCTTTAAGGTCTCAGATTCACCAGCCCTGCCTTCTGCCAGCCTCCCCATCTGTTCTGTGCTCCTGGGCCTGGTTGCCACCCTCCTCTTGCCATTCTGGCATCACCCACCTTCCTGTCTGCCAGTATTTCCTCACGCCAGAAAGCTCCCTGCAACCAGGACCTGCATGTCCGCTGCCCCAGCATATGCATTTGTGGCGGCGTGGAGGGACTCTGTGTAGGCAGTAAATGGCTGCACCACCTCCCGCAGTCCCGAGGAATGCTGGCAAACCAATTTGTCCAGCCCTTCACCTGACTTCTGGAACTGTGTCCTTGCCAAGTGATTCTGTTTGGGGCTGTGTTTACGCTCACATGTTCTTTCCCTCTGGCTCCCTCCAGGCCATCCTTACTGTGACCGGGTCTGTGACAATCATGTCACACAGCCCGCCTTTCCCACCTGCCATGGTTGAGCCCGAGGACCTGTTGGAGTCCCTGGGCTCACTGCTAGGTCTTGGGCGAGTTTTCTCCCCAGTGTGGCACTGCTGAGGACTACAGGTGCCAGGGAGGGAGAGTGGCCCTGTGGACATGGCGTCCGGTCTCTCTGGCCAGTGGTGTGGGTTCTGGGAAACTGGGCTGGAGCAGGACACAAGGCAGAGGCAGTGGGTGAGGGCGCCGCCTGTCGGGAAGAGGAGGTGTGAGCACGGGCTGTCTGCCCTCCTGCTATGAGATCTGCCGAATCTGCTTCCTCTGGTTCTTTATCTTGCGTATGAAGATCACTTAGGCAATTTCATTGAGTCTCTGTGAATAAAAGCCCATGACAGGCATGAAAGGAGGAAAGGGCTGCCCAGTGCTGACCCCTCCTCCCCCAGGATGTATATCTAACCTTTCTTCTGCCCACTGCAGCCTGGGTTGGAAGCCAGCCTGGCCTGGGAGTCGCTAGGTCACCTGGTGCCCTCGTGTAACACGGGCTCCAGACTGCAACCTGGCCTTGATGTGCTCTGGAAAAGCCTGAGGAAAGGTGACCACACTTCGCCCAGGTCCCGTGTCTTCAGCAGGTGGAGAGGTCCCCTGGTTTACCTGCCGAGAATATTTGTTTGTATTTTGCCTCCACTGTTACCCTTAGAAAATGTGTAATAATTCATTCGATTCACGAATTCTGAAGGCCTTGTTTTAGATGGATACAGTGGACATTTCCCGTGCAGGTTCATGAAGGCTGGGCAGAAGGGGAAGGAGCCTGAGAGTTGTGTTTGATTGCTCTGCTTGTCTCTATTTTAGGTCTGGGGTTGAGACTCTGCCCCACAACGCCAAGGTGCACTACAACTACGCCAACTTCCTGAAGGACCAGGGCCGGAACAGGGAGGCCATCTACCACTACAGGACCGCGCTCAAGTGAGTCAGACAGACAGGGCAGCTACAGCTTGGGGGGCCCTGGCCAGTGTGCGCCTCCCTTCTTCGCAGGGCCAGAGGGGCTGGTTTCTTCTGACACAGAACACATCCTTGCAGTTGGGATAGCTCTGGACTCTTTAAGTCTTTGGGCTCAGCATTCAAATGTAATATAAAAGTAGGGGGTGGTGTCTAACTTGCTTCTCATGTAGTATTTTCATGAAAAAAGTTTGATTGCTAGCCAGGTGTAGTGGTACAAGCTTGTAATCCCAGTAGTCTGAGAGGCTGAGGCAGGAAGATCTCAAGTTTGAGACCAGCTTGGGGCCAGTTTGTGACTTAGCAAGGCTGTTTCAAAATAGAAAACAAAATAAAACAAAAAAAGTGCTGAGACTGTGCAGAGGTCCTGAGTTTAATCTCCAGTTCTTCCAAAAAGCATTTTTGTTGCGCTACACATTATGTAAGGAAGTGACACTCATTCTAATATATATGTGCATACAGCTAGTAGTTTAAAATATACTGGGGGAGGTGTGGGATATTTACTCCAGTGAATTGTTAATGATATGTATTAAAGGCTTTCTATGAAGATGTCCATGTGCAGAGATGAAATGCACTGAGGTTGTGCTAGACAGTGACACACACTTAATTACCATGCTGCGAATGTGTTCATTCTGTGTGTCTGGGTGCGTGTCATTCTGCCTCTCCATGCATTCCTCTCCTGGAAGGGAAGATGCCACATTGCACCTTAGGTGTGGCTATGAAGGACAGTTACAATGCAAATTCTGTGCTGCCAGCAGCAGTGAGTAGATACACTGTTGAATCACCCTGCCTTTCCAGATGATTTTTCTCTAGAAGGTCGCAGACTATAAAAGCGTTTAATTTAGCACACAGAGACTACAGGGTGGGTCTGGCCCCTAGAGCCCTGGTTCAAGGCCTGAGCTTGTTCTGTGGCAGTGCTGGGAGGGTGGGATCTTCAGGTCGTTGAGGGTATGCTGGGTCAGAGAACCAGGTCCTTTCTCTTCTGCTGTTATGTCCTGTCCTGCACCCCTCTTGTGATGTCCTCCCTCCCCACAGGCCCAAGCAGTAGGGCCAGTCCTGGACTAACACCTCCAATACCAAGAGCCAGAACATACTTTTTATTTTATACATGACTGACTCGGGCATCTTATCACTGTGACAGAATGCTGACCAGCACACAGGATGGCCTGAGAGTCTACTGTGGGCAGACATGGGATGAAGCTACCCTTTTTTGAATTCTGTCTTAGTTACTTTTCTCTCATTGCTGAGACAAAATGCCCAACACCCAAAGTTAAAGGGGGAAAGGTTTAATTAGCTCACAGTTTGTGGAGGTTTCCGGCTATAATCAGCGAGCTCCATGGCAGGGTGGCTTTGCAGAGGAGAACAGTTCATGGTAGGCAAAGAATAGCAGAGCAACAAGCAGGGGCAACAGTTCACGGCGGCAAAGACAGCAAAAGCTACCTGCCCTAGGGTGGGGGTAGTACTGACACCCTAATCCCAGCACTGGACAATGAATCAGTCACAGACTCTAGATCCAGCCACCTCCAAAAAGCCTGCTCTCCAGTGACTACAGAAGGCTTTAGGGGGACATTCAGACACAAACCACAAACCATAACAAATGCCGTGGTGCTCACAGAAAGGCTTTTGGAGCTTTGCAGACTGTCCCCAAGTGGTTAATATATACCAACGTTCTACTTAGAACATGCGTACCACATACCCCTGTCAAATCCTGCATTTCATGGAAATGCTGCTGGAACTGTCTCAGGGCTTCGTTTAAATCATTGTTGTTATGTTCTACACAAGTGTATACAATTGTTTTACACTTTAGGACCTGCTACTTAATGTTTAAAAGTTTAATGTATGTAAAAGTTTTAAGTCATATATACCAAGTTGCTATCAAAAGCTTTTTCACATGTTACAAGAGATGAGTCCCATAGGCATAACTGTAACCAAGCTTTGTGTTGAGCAATGGTTTTTATTAAGAAAGAGAAGGTAGTTTTAAAGATTTCATAAGGAATTATATTATTTAACTGGAAGGAAGGTTCTAAAATGTTTACAATGCTTATCTCTGGTTGGTGAGATTATGGTTTGATTTTTTTCCCTTCATAAATTTTTGTATGTTCTGGATGTTCCATAATATACTTGTGTGTTTTCGAAATGAGAAAATGTCACTTTTTAAAAGACATATCCTTTTCAGAGAACATGTAATATGTATTGTGGCTTTAATAATTAATCAGTGTTTAGCAATTTCGGATGATATTCTTGAAGGGAGCAAAAGAGCTGTAAGTTTGTCTAAAAATTACTAGTGGGAAGAAAGTGTATTGATAGCCTTTAAATTTTGTTTCATTGTAATGATTTTCTGTCAAGTTCAAACACAAAAATAAGGCAGACCCTAAGGCACAGCTCAGGGCAAAGGCATAAATTAAATGAGATTCCCTGGCAGGTGACTTTACAGAATTATAGTAGCTGGTTGGGTGTTTCCTCTTTCCACCTGTAAGTCGATGAAAGTGAGTGTTCGCCTCACTAATGTGCTTCTGGAAGAAGTGCATCCCTGGAGAAATGGGAAAACCATTAAAGCTATAAATGTACTATATAGTAATTAGTGAGGTATTTAATGGCCTCAGACCAGATTCAAAGTGCTTCTGATTTAAAATATCGTGGTTTTTGTGTGCATACTCTGTGGTGAATTTTCAGGGAACGTAGGTGTTTTTGTTTCTGTTTCTGTGTTTAAATAAATTGTCACTCTTTATTTTGGGGAGAAAAGGAAAACACCAGAACTATTCATCATTTTGATGATTATCGCCTCCGTGACTGGAAGATTGGTCTTATGTTGAAACCGCCCTTTCTTTGTGGAAGAAGCTGGGTCAGCGATTCCTCCGGGTTGCTCCAGCCCGGTTTAACTTGAGCATGTCCCGTGTTCTCTCTGTCTGCGCACAGCAGGAGCGTGATTGAGGAAGGGGAAAGTTAAAGGCAGCACGATCTGAAATCAGTTCCAGCAGTTGTCATTTTTCTATGCAAATGTGTAGATCTCAAATGCCATGATGAAATTAGTCACAGGGATTGTGACTCTTTTAGGCTGTTTTGCAATTCTAAAAACAGCATAATGTTAAGTTAGTAACTATATGCAACATAGTCTGCTTCTTTTAAAATCTTTTTTTTTTTTTTTTTTAAATAATGTGGAAATGCTACTGACTTCTCCCTTTGGATAGACTTTGTTTTCTGTAGGGCAAGGAAAACCTTCCCTGGACATTGCTGCAGCTAAGGCTGTGTGCTCAGGTTACGACCCAGATCATTAAAGGGGAGGGGCATTTCTTTTTATTCTCAGCAGATGTGAATGTTAGCTTCGCTTTGCCCCAGGGAGTAGCTGTTGTGTCTGTATCCACTGCATGACTACATGTAAAGGCTGGGTTTCTCTGTGTTGGAGAATCAAAACCTGTTTTGCAAGCACATCTGCCTTGGGCCCCCAGAGCTTTCTGATCATTCAGCTCCTCTGGGAATGGTTCCTGAATCTACCCCACATCAGCAGGATGTCCAGAGACTGCCCAGCAATTCAGTTCTTCCTGCACAAAATCCAGTCATCCCCAGAGGAGAAACAGCAACTCTGCCTGAATAAGATGTGGGAGATACGGAGTGTGTCCTTGGCTATATGTATACTGTATTGTTATCTTAAGAAGACAGTTTAAAAGTAGAGAATCATGAATCATGCACACTCTTGAGTTCACCTTTTATACTACTCTAAAATTTTCAAATGTACATCCTGCTAAAAAAAAATCTTCCAATGTCAAACCAAGTCCACCTTTCTGAGTAGGAGTCTCCTGATTAGAATCCCCTAAAACCACATCCATAATGCATTGCTATGATTAACAGTTTTGACAGTTTAAAGTAGCGTGAAATTTAAATGTACTCCCAAAATGATTTGAGTGGATGGAGATTTTTCTGATTTCTCTCCTCCAGTCTTTTACAGTTTTATCATTTGCATCTAATTCAACAGTTTTTTACAACTTCCTGTATTTTCGTGTTTTTCATAGAAATAACAATTGTGCGCCCCTTGCATCTTTTATGAGTTTCCAGAATATTTCATTACGCTGTGTCTTGTAATGCTTTTGAGTGCCTCCGTGGAAAGTGACTCACAACAGGAGCCTTTGTCCCTAGCTCCTGCGTGGAGGGTAGTGCCGAGCTCCCGGCACCTTGTACCTATGTATGAATGAAACAGTGCTACACATAAACGTCTGTGCCTTAAAGTATCTGAAGGAGTCTTTAAATGGTGACTGAGTACAGTGTAAATACTAAAAGCTATCAATTGTAGAGATCCTAAATTACTCCTACCAAATGTGTATCCACCTCCAGACCTGTCTTCCTCTTCCTAGGCACTCCGTGGATGAGGCATGAACTTGTGATGATTAATTTTATGTGTCACTTTGCTTGGGCCATGATACCCAGATTCTTCTAGATGTTTCTGGGTCAGTATTTTTCAGATGAGATTCTCATTTAAGTAAGTAAATTTTGCCCAGACCTGGTGGTGCACACATGTGATCCCAGCGGCAAAGGAGGCTGAAGCAAGAGGATTGTAAATCGAGCCTAGCCTTTAGCAATATTGTGTCTCAAAAAAGGGGTGGGGACTGGGGAAACGGCTCAGCGTGAAGACCTAGGGTTCAATCCCCAGTGCCATGAAGAAAAGAAAGAGTTTGAGTGATGTAGGTTATTCTCTAACGCAGGTGAGCCTCACTGAGTCCTTTGCAGACTGACAAAGAAAGATGCCTGGAAGAAGAGAGCATCCCTCCTCCTGCTACCTTGTGCGCACCTTTGTGTGCGTCCCCCTGCCCAAAGTCTTTGAGCCCGTTCCCTCCAGTGAATTCCTCCTGCACCCATCCTGGCCGCTTCTTCTTCTCCCCCACTAAGGCTGGCTTCTTCTTTGTTCTCAGGGTTCCATTGTTTTCAAATTATGAAATTTTCATAATATTTCTTTAAAGTCCTTTGCACCTCCCGTGAAA